GCGAGATCACTCTTCATCTCTGAAATTTTTGAAGCCATGTTTTGAAACTGAATCAACCAATGCAAAGAGTTCATGAGCAAAGGCCTGAACTTCCTCGTCACTTTGAACAATAGCTTCCTGCAACTTCACTTTGGAGGCCTTCATGAAAAGATAGGGTTGTCAGAGATTTTAGTAACCCACTGGAACGGCTTCAAATCAGTGGCTTGGCTCAACAGCAATACCAAACTGTGCTCAAAAGGCGCTCTTGTGAAAATCTGATACGGCAGCAGAAGTGTCTGCGAGATCACTCTTCATCTCTGAAATTTTTGAAGCCATGTTTTGAAACTGAATCAACCAATGCAAAGAGTTCATGAGCAAAGGCCTGAACTTCCTCGTCACTTTGAACAATAGCTTCCTGCAACTTCACTTTGGAGGCCTTCATGAAAAGATGGAAGTTGATTAAGCATGTGATAAAAACTTTATAGTACCAATTAATCAAAATATGAATGCATTACCAAGTAGAAACTTAATACCATCAAAACGATAGCACCCCTACTTTTCAGGGTATAGCCATCCGTGTAACATATTACCTTCTACCTTGAAAAGTATTTTTCTCCTTGGATTATCAACACACTTGTTGGCAATATAAATAGTCTTATTAGCTGCTCGAGTGAGGAGAGAAAAATAAGGACATACCTTTAGAAACTCCGATGCTTCTCTTTCAAAAACAGCCAAGCTGTGAACTTCGTTTTCAACCTCCTCTACCATCCTTCTAGCCTCCATTGAACATCTGGATGTGTGGTCTTGTATTTCCTTATGCAATAAGTTCAATTGAGCTTCCACCTAACAAAATTGATCATCGATGTAGTCAAGGATCAATCTAGAAAAACTTTTTTCCAAGGGATTATCTTCTAGTCCTTTACAATATCAACAGAGTTTAGACACTAGTGAAATGAAAAACAAATAGTACTGTACTGTGTGCAATCCAACAATTTAATCTTCAAATCTTGTAAAATTACCTTATCCATAAGAACAAAAGAATGGTTCCGCGAGGACTGTGACACCAAACTGGAATACCTTTCGAACTTTATTCAGGACCCAAGACTTGCTGGAATACCTTTAGGATTTCATTCAAGACCCAACATTTGCTGGTTTCATATCAGCCACTTTATCCTTTTTCTGGTTAAACAGTTTTTGCTAGTTCTTTTCTTTGGAACTTTTACCTTTTTATTATTTTTTTTTTCCCTGGGTGACGGTTTCCAGACCTAGTCCTCTTGCTTCCCCATATTTCCATTTTCCTTATATAGCCACTAGTTGAATTCCGGGGTCCTACTAGCTGGCAAAAGGTCTCTGTCTTGGCACACACTCACAGGCTCACATGTAATTAAAAGACAAGATTCAGTATCTTATATCCAGAACATTAACAAGCCAAAGTTCAATGGCTGACATGAGGCAAGTTTCAAGGGAAATTCTGAGGCTATCGTGAAGGACCTGCTGGAAAACCAAATGAACTGCAATGGGGAAAACTTGAAACCGGATCTGTACTTGTGCACATGTAATGTGATTTGTGTTTTAACTATGAAACTATCTTAAGCAACAAATAATAAGAAAGTAACATGATTCTCAGATGAGAAAAGCATTTGAAAGTTCCTAAATTAAATTAGTGTTTGAAAGTTGCATCATATTTTTAAATGAGTAATCCTCCAACATTCTATAATTAGAAATTTCCCATGGAAAAATCTCACAAGTACTCTTTCAAAAAAACTCTCCCATGAAACACGAAACTTAGGTATGAAAAGATTGGCCTGGTATCAAATTCCAATCAACTAAGGGAAAAATACCTCGGAAATGACATTGCCAAAATCAATGCTTCACTAACAGGTTGGATTAGAAGGCCTGTTTACTTTATAACAAATTAGTATCAAATTCAACTACATAATTTACAAGGTACTTACCGCCCGCGGGGGCGGTGGGGGGGGAAGGTAACAGATTTACTAGGGACCTATTCCTTCAACAAAACATTTATCATGTACTTACCAAAAAAGAAAATTTTGAATGGGTAGTGGAAATCCCCCCTCAACTTTTGGAAACTTCCATGAGAATTAGTATATTTTATTTTTTCCATTGGTAATGATATCTGCATGATGGATAAATCCTACTACCCATAAGTGATGGCTTTTCAGAAGATGCAAATCCATATTCCATATTCCATAAATGCCCTTAAAGTATATAAATGGACAGGTGCAAACCCATATTCCATAAATGCATTAATAATTGTAAATGGTGTAAAGAACTGCTTTCACTGCACTTAATTCATCACAGTGGGATTGAAGTGCAGCAATACGCTTACTTTTAGCCTCAGTATTGGAAGCATTTTCAACTGATTGTTGCTGAAGCAATATCAACTCTTCTAACCTTGCCATTGAGCTTTCCTTTAAGTCATCAGCAAAGGTGGCAAGTTCAGGCTTTAGTGTTGATTTATAGTCTATCCCCTGCACCTCAGTAGCTGTCGAACCTTTGGGATTTAGCTCATACTGAAAACCATTTCCAAGCTTTAACCTGGAAACATTAAAGTAAATTCAATAACGTCAGCGCTATTGAATTGAAGATTGTACTGCATCAGATTTGCATGAAGTTGCAAACATGCTTCAAGGACAAAATAAACAAACAACAAGAAATACACCCTAGGAAACTAGTGTCTAAGGTTTGCCACTGTTATGGACACTGACTTTGCTTCAAATAAAAAATTAGACAACTAATAAAACATGCCATGGAGGTAAAACAGATCCCCATTATGATTTTAGGGGAAGAGAGAGAGGTTGGAGGTAAAGAATCAACATTAGGCATTTCATTGACCTTGGATTCTTTGTCATCGCATTAAAACTGCATGAAGTAATTGGTAGGTTTTCCATGACCAACAAACAAAAGAAGCAAAAACTAAGACTTGAAAAATAGTAAAGAACTTAAATAGTTTAGAGGAACAAGATTTTAAAGATTTGTAGGAAGAATCGGAAAATAGCAGACGATACAATGGTATAAAGAAGGAACAAGATTTCAAAGATGTCTACGGTTAGACTTTAGAGTAAGACCCAAGAAAAACTATGTGTTGATTATTCATAACAAAAGAATAACAGGATGCTTCCTAGTGGTGCCTTAAAGAAAGAAATACAATTAGCCTATTTAGTGACTCAGAGGACTAATGCGTGACTAAAAAGTTTTAAATTACAGATGACCAAGACACGACTAAATAAAGAAAATATTATTATAACACAATAGAAAAGTAGACTAAAATGAAATAAAATAATGTTATCAGACCCCCCACAATCATATTAAGCAGCCTTGGATGCTCATGCATCAATCGCCTGGCTTGAAGAGAATTCAGCTCCTATAAGGAAGCATGAAGGTACTGCCAAAAAGACTTCAGGATCATGAACTGAACTCAAACACTTGGATCTTCTAATTGTGATGAAGAAAAAAAAAAAAAAAACTCAATTTCATAGTAAAGAAGGGTTCCCTACTTCCAAGATAAATTATATCTCCTTTTCTTTTCACCATATTCGTTAAATCTAAATTATTACTGAGTAAATTAAGAAGAACAATTGCAACATATGTTACGCTTTTATGTAGCACATGTTTTCAAGTGCGCCAAATGTGGCCATGTATCACTATCCAAGTTTTAAGACACATTTCAAGCCAAATCCCATATCCTAACATTCGGTATTTAGCGAGGTCTGACACTTGAACACATACCTGCACCATTACATATACCCAAGTCCATGTAACATTTGCCTACAACCACTACAATAAATAGCTGAACTGCGGGGTAATTGTAGTATCGACTTCTCAGCTCCCCAGACTCCAACACGTGACTTCATATTTATCAAAAAAAGGCTAAGCATTTGACTTAACATTAGACATATGAGTGCTTCAAAGAGACTGTCAACTTTTGATTACATAAACTCCCATTTGCATGTCTTTGGTTTACCTTCTTTTATGAGTCGAATTTACCTCAAAGCTTAAGAGTACACCAAAACTCTAAATTTGGTAAATAATGTTCCCAATGCTGAAATCCCCACACCAGAGTATAAAATTCTAGCTCAAATGCTGAATAACTCATTTTTGCAAATGAAATATTCTCACTGAAAAAATCTATTGGCTTCCCTTCTTGACCAAGAATAGGAGCAATTCCCACATAAAATGCATCACAACCCACAACAATTACCTTCTAAAAGTCTGGAAGTGCAAGAAAAGCAGCTTTTATATGCATAATTAATATGTTGGATTGCTCTCAAATCAAAGCATCTTCTTTTAAGCACTTTGTATTGAACCAAAATTCCAAATAAGTGACCAATAAAATGAGGTTAAGCCGTGAAAACTATATATAACTCCCATAGATTGAGATGTAGACCATTCTGTCATGGGCCATGGCCCTTACTTTCCCAAGATCTGGTAGTAAGCAAGCCATCCACTGAAACAAAATAGCCCCAGAATACAACTTTGTTGCACAAAAAATAGTCTATTCAATACAGAGCTTCTCCTTCGAAAGTATCTCAAAAAATTTGGTGTAGATGATGTAAATGCTCCTCCTAGAACAACTTCATAGTAAAAGTACCATCAAAGTATACAATAATAGCTCACTCCAAGAAAGGTTGTAATACCTCCATCTTGACACACAAGAAAGTCCTTGAGGTGTCAGATAGCCCAAGTGTCGTTACTAACCATTTGCACAAGACATCAAACATTTCAATCAATGAACTCCTATAATTTCCTTGAGAACTTCTGATGCTTTCGGTGCTCCTGAACATTTTTCTTTCTCCTGGGGTGGTTGTATTCTCTATGACAATGGACGTGAAAGTGCAGATAGTCGAGAAAATAAACCAATAGGATATCCTTCTTCTCACAGATTATGCCTTCTAATCTGTTGGGACTAATTGACTAAAACTACAGCTGTTTTCCTCCTAAAAGAAAACATAGTACCCATGCTTCATTGTTAGTACCACGATCCTGTTACTGCTGTAGAATAAATAAAATAAAATGAACCAATCATCTATGTAAATTAAACATAAAATGTCAGCAATAATTATAGTAAAGTGTATTATAAAACACAATCACAAGTACATATGATGAGATTAATCACATTTACATTGGAATGTCAAACAATCCAATTTTAACAATACAACGTTTTTTTTTTTTTTTTTTTGATAAGTAACAATACAACGCATTGAAGCTAAGGAATGTCAAACAAACCTCCTCATAGCTTGGTTGCACTCCATTGAAAGGGCCTGGAGCTCCTTAAACTTGCCTCCAATTGTGGCATCAAGATCCCAGCACTTCTCCTCCCAAGCATTCCTCTCCATGTCAGCATCGGTAATATCTCTCTCCACCGCCTGCAACTCTCTCTTCATCCTCTCTGCGTCTCGCGAATTAACATGCTGCGACTCTATCCTCTTCTTCAACTCTTCATTCTCCTCACATATCTTCTTGTTCTCCCCAACCTTCGCCTCCAATTCCTTCTCTTTCTCCTCCAATACCTTCTCCACAGCCACAATGTGTCCATTCAACTGCTCAATCATTGAGTGGAACTTCTTCACGTCCTCTTCCAACACACCCTTCTCCTTCTCAAGCAATTCCCTAGGCGATGGACCCAACCTCAACCCCTCCAACTCCTTAACAGTGTCTTCCAACATCTTCACAGTTTTCTGCCCCAAATCCCTCTCTTGTTGTAACTTATCCGTGAATTCACGCTCAAGTATATCCACTGCATCATCATCCCCTTGAATATAACACAAGTAACTATCCAGAGAATGCTTGAGCGTGAAATTATTTGCAAAGCTCGAATGATTTTTTGACCTTTCGGTTAAATGATTGTTGTACATTGCAATTTGAACCAACCAGTGGATCACGGCAAGGAGGCTCAGCCAAGAGTGAGGAGCACCAGGGGCTTGAAAAACCGATTTTTTTAGTTTAATTGGGCAATTGAGGTATTTGAGGACTGTGAAGAGGTCTTCTTCAAGTTTTTTCGTTGCGCAGTCGAGTTGACTGAGAACAAACCTTAGGGCTTCGGTGATGTCTTTGGCCGAGGGGAGTGGGGGTTTGAGGTAGACTGGGAGGACTGAGAGGCGAGGTACTTGTTGATGACAGAGAGTTGATAGGAGCGTTCGGTGGCCGAGGCCGCTGGGGCGGCGGCGGAGGGGCGTTTGAACCCGATGGAGGACTAGGAAGGGCGGCTGCTGCAGAAGCTGGCGTCCGAGTCGCGGCCGATTGCGCCGCCAGGGAACTGACATGGATCTGCGGTGGGAGTTGGCGATGGTTTTCGGTCTTTTGCGAAAGATTCCTTTGGACGGCGGCGACCGGCGCCTCTCATCTCCACTGATTGGTTTGTTTCTCTGAATCTGACTGAAGTTTCCCGCCTGTTTGGCTATAGGGAAATTAGGAAAGTGAAGTTTGAATATCTATATTTTTGAAAAATATATATATGTATAGGTATATTTGGATTGAATCCGGTTATAAAAACGAAAGGTTCGGGTCAACTTTCGTTGGATATCAACTCGGATCTTGTGATTTTTTTTTTTTTTCTTATTTTTTTTAACAAGAAACTCAATCACTCATTTGTCTACGTAGAAATTTAAATCTTCCTCTCTTAATTTGAAAGATTAAGCGTTGTGTTTTTTGCATTTTGTTTTAATCCGAAGCAAAACAAGTGTTTTTTTATGGAGTTTTTTTGAGTTAAAAACAAAAATATGTTTGGCGACGCAAATTTAAAATAGAATAAGCCAAAATTACTGAAACAAAAACAAGAAATATGTTTGGTAAAAAGTGTTTCTTATTTACTTTTGAAACTTTAAAATATATTAATACTTTATTATTTATATATAATAGTACATTCATTTATATAGTTTGAACATATTTTTTACACATAATTTTTTTTTTTTAGTAAAACACTTAGGAAAAAATACATTATGAGTATGTCTAAAGTATTTTGTCAAAAAGTAATAACCTTTTGAATGTGTAAAGTATTATGTAAAAAAAAAATACAATATAAATATATGTGTATAATTGAATATGTGTAAAGTTATAATAACCTATTTTTAAGTATCATCATCTTTCTGCATGCTGAATCTCTTCTAAGTTGCCAATATAAATTTTTTTTTTTGTTTTTGGTCCTACACTTGGAATAAAATGATGATGATTTATCCATAACTATAATGTGGATAATTGAAAATTTGTGATTGAAAATAATTATTTCTTTCATTTGAATGTGGTTAATAGATACTATTGGATTACATGATGAATAAAGAGTTTTAAAAATGAAATTACATAGAAGATTGAATTTTTTAATCAATCTCCAAATTTCACAAAATTATCGATTTGTATTTATTTATAATTTCATGGTTAATTAGTGAAAGGCATTCATTTACATTCATTTTGGGTTGTCATTTAATATGTTCCTCACGCTCTGAACTTTTCATGCTTCCTATTCTGTTTTTATCTCAATTAATAATGTGAAAAAATAGAGATGAGGAGAGAGAGGGGGGAGAGACTGATAAACGAAAGAGTACAAGATATGGAAGAACACTCCCTTGTTGTACGATTTGGTGATTACCCATGCCCCTCGAGTGGCCTTCCCTCACCGTCGAGTGGCTTCCCGACCGAGAAGAGCCGCCGGGAAAGGACTACTCTGTACAGAAGATGATTCTGGGGACCCACACCTCCGAGAACGAGCCCAACTATCTCATGCTTGCCCAGGTCCAGCTCCTTCTCGAGGCCGCCGAGAACAATGCGCGTCCTTTTGACGACGATTTCGGCGGCTTCGGTTGCGCCAATGGCAAGGTAATATATAACTCACTGTATGTGTCTCACGCGCCCATTTCCCCCCACGGGGACTTCAACCAAGAGTTTCAGCTATTAGCAGATTACCATGAAATCAGCTTGAAAGAGACCCATTTCATACAAGTACTTGGCTAAAATGATATCAAATTCAAATACATGTATGAAAATATTTTAGATTGGTCTCCAACCACATGTCAGGTTGATGATACCATTTTGCGGCAGCAAAATGAAAAATATCACTGTCCTACACAATCTTTTCTCCGAATCAACATGTTGTTATACCATTTCAATCAGGTGTCCTTGCTTCATTATAATGCCATTCCCCAAGAGTACCATTAGGAGATTAAACTGCCAGCAGCGAATGTATTAGCTTCTCTAAACTCAAGTAGACAATAACAATAAAAAGAAAGACACACCTATTGAAATCTTAGCATCTCTAATGAGATAATTTAGCAAGCAACAACTCAGTGGCGTAAGCGAGGCAAAAGGAAGACAGGGTTGTCAGAGAATTTAGTAACCCACTGGAAAGACTTCAAATCAGTGGCTTGGCTCAACAGCAATACCAAACTGTGCTCAAAAGGCGCTCTTGTGAAAATCTGATACGGCAGCAGAAGTTTCCGCAAGACAATTCTTCATCTCTAAAATTTTCGAAGCCATATATTCTTTGTATTTTGAAACTGAATCAACCAATGCAAAGAGTTCATGAGCAAAGGCCTGAACTTCCTCTTCACTTTGAACAATAGCTTCCTGCAACTTCACTTTGGAGGCCTTCATGAAAAGATAGGCGTAGATTAACATGTGATAAACCTAATAGTATTCCAACTAATCAAAATATGAATGCATTACCAAGTAGAAACTTAATACTATCCAAAAGATAGCACCCCTACTTTTCAGGGTACAGCCATCCTTGTAACAAGAGACCACCTACCTCGAAAAGTACCTTTCTCCTTGGATTATCAACACACTCGTTGGAAATATAAATACTCTTATTAGCTGCTCGAGCAAGAAGAGAAAAATAAGGCCATACCTTCAGAAACTCCGCAGCTTCTCTTTCAAAAACAGCCAAGCTGTGGACTTCGGTTTCAACCTCCTCTACCATCCTTCTAGCCTCTATTGAACATCTGGAAGTGTGGTCTTGTATTTCCTTATGCAATAAGTTCAATTGAGCTTCCACCTGACAAATTGATCATCAATGTAGTCAAAGATCAATCTAGAAAAACTTTGTTTCCAAGGGATTCCCTTCTAGTCCTTTACAATATCAACAGAGTCTAGAAAATCGTGAAATGAAAAACAAATGGTACTGCACTGTGTGCAATCCAACAATTTAATCTTCAAAAATTACCTTATCCATAAGAACAAAAGAATGGTTCCATGAGGACCGTGAGACCAAACTGGAATACCTTTAGGACTTTATTCAGGACCCAAGACTGAAAAAAATATATATAGGAAAGGTAAAAGTTCCAAAGAAAAGAACTAGCAAAAACTGTTTAAACTGAAAAAGGAAAAAATGGCTACATTAGGAACTAGTTGAATTCCTTTTTCAGTTTAAACAGTTTTTGCTAGTTCTTTTCTTTGGAACTTTTACCTTTCCTATATTTTTTTCTCTGGGTGAGGGTTTCCAGACCTAGTCCTCTTGCTTCTCCATATTTCCATTTTCCTTAGATAGCCACTAGTTGAATTCCAGGGTCCTACTAGCTGGCAAATAGTCTTTGTCTTGCCACACACCTCTCATAAGCTCACATGTAATCAAAAGACAAGGTTCAATATCTTATATCCAGAACCATACACCATGGCTCCTGCAAATTCTTCCCAGCAAACATCTACAAGCCAAAGTTCAATGGCTGACTTGAGACAAGGCTCAAGGGAAATTCTGAGCCTATCGTGAAGGAACTGCTGGAAAACCAAATGGACTGCAACGGGGAAAACTTGAAACCGGATCTGTACTTGTGCATATGTAATGTGATTTGTGTTTTAACTATTAAACTATCTTCAGAAACAAATAATAAGAAAGTAACATGATTCTCAGAGGGGAAAAGCAAATAGTTCCTAAATTGAATTAGTGTTTGAAAGTTGCATCGTATTTTTAAATGAGTAATCCTCCAATATTCTATAATTAGAAATTTCCAATGGAAAAATCTCACAATTACTCTTCCAAAAAACTCTCCCATGAAACAAGAAACTTACGTATGCAAACAGTTGCCTAGCATCAAATTCCAATCAACTAAGGGAAAAATACCTCAGAAATGACATTGCCAAAATCAATGCTTCACTAAGAGGTTGGATTAGAAGGCCTGTTTACTTTATAACAAATTAGTATTAAGTTCAATTACATATTTTACAAGGCACTTACTGGGGTATAAAAAATAAAAAAAAAAAGACACATTCACTAGGGACCTATTCCTTCAACAAAACATTCATGAGGTACTTACCAAAAAAGAAAATTTTGAATGGGTAGTGGAAATCCCCACCTCAACTTTTGGAGACTTCCATGAGAATTAGGATCATCTTCTTAAGACCATATTTGTATATTTTATTTTTTCATTGGTAATGATATCTGCGTGATGAACATATCCTACTAGGATACTACCCATAAGTGATGGCTTTTAAGGAGATGGGTAGTTAAAAGTCGGCACAAAGTATCATGCTCTTAAAGTATATAAGTGGACAGGTGCAAACCCATATTCAACAAATGCATTAATAATTGTAAATGGTGTAAAAGAACTGCTTCACTGCACTTACTTCGTCACAATGGGATTGAAGTGCCGTAATACGGTTTCTTTTAGTCTCAATCTTGGAAGCATTTTCAACTGATTGTTGCTGAAGCGATATCAACTCTTCCAACCTTGCCATTGAGCTTTTCTTTAAGTCATCAGCAAAGGTGGCAAGTTCAGGCTTTAGTGTTGATTTATAGTCTATCCCTTGCACCTCAGCAGCGGTTGAACCTTTGGGATTTAGCTCATACTGAAAACCATTTCCAAGCTTTAACCTGGAAACATTAAAGTAAAGTCAATAGCATCAGCGCTATTGAATCGGACATTGTACTGCATCAGATTTGCATGAAATTGCAAACATACTTCAAGGACAAAATAAACAAACAACAAGATATACACCCTAGGAAACTTGAGTCTAAGATTTGCCACCATTATGGACACTGCCTTTGCTTCAAAATTAGACAACTAATAAAACATGCCATGGAGGGAAAACAGATCCCCATTCTCGTTTAAGGGGAAGAGAGAGAGAGAGAGAGGTTAGAAGTAAAGAATCAATATTAGGCATTCCATTGACCTTGGATTCTCTTTCATCATATCAAAACTGCATGAAGTGATTGGTAGGTTTTCCATGACCCACAAACAAAAGAAGCATAAACTAAGACTTGAAAAATAACAAAAAACGCAATAGTTTAGAGGAACAAGATTTTAAAATTTTGTAGGAAGAATAGGAAAATAGCAGAGGACACAATGGTATAAAGAAGGAACAACATTTCAAAGATGTCTATGGTCACAGTAAGACCCAAGAAAAAGCTCTGTGTTGACCGATCATAAAAAAAAGAAAAACAAGATGCTTCCTAGTGTTGCCTTAATGAAAGAAGAAACACAATTACCCTATTTAATGACTCACATGACTAATGTGACTAATGTGTGACTGAAAACTTTAAAATGACAGATAACAAAGACACAACTAAATAAAGAAAAGATTATCGTAACAAAATAGAATAATAAACTAACATGAAATAAAATCATTTCATCAGACCCCCACAATCTTTTTAAGCACCCTTGGATGCTCATGCATCAATCTACCAGCTTGAAGAGAATTCAGCTCCTATGAGGAAGTGAAGGTACTGCAAAAAAAATTTAAAAAAAAAAGGTCCAGGTTCCCTACTTCCGAGATAGATTCTCTCTCCTTTTTTCTTTCCACCATAGATTCATTTTTTTTTTACAAGTATTCACTAAATTAAAATTATTATGTTAAGCTTTTAAGTAGCATATGTTTTTTAGTGTGTCAAATGTGGCCATGTATCAGTATCCGAGTTTTAGATACATTTCAAGCCAACTCCCCATATCCTAACATTCGGGGTTTAGTGAGGTCTGACACTTGGACACATACCCACACCCAATACATTTACTCAAGTCCGTGTAACATTGCCTTCAACCACTTCAATAAATAGCTGAATGTGGGGTACTTATAATATTAACTTCTCAATTCCCCAAACCCCAACACGTGCCTTCATATCTATCAATAGAACCACTTATAGCATTTGACTTAACGTATGAGACATATGAGTGCTTCAAAGAGGATGAACTTTTGATTACATAAACTCCCATTTGCGTGTCTTTTGTTACCTTATTTTATGAGTTGAATTTACCACAAAGCTTAAAAGTACACCGAATCTAAATTTGATAAATAATGTTCCCAATGCTGCAATCCCCACACCATAGATAAAATTCAAGCTCAAATGCTGAGTAACTCTTTTTTGCATATGAAATATTCTCACTGAAAAAATCTATTGGCTTCAAGCTTAAATGCTGAATACTTCTTTTTTGCATATGAAATATTCTCACTGAAAAAATCTATTGCCTTCTATTCGTCACCAAGAATAGCACCAATTCCAACATGGAATGCATCACATTCCACAACGAATACCTTCTGAAAGTCTGAAGTACAAGAAATGCAGCTTTCAGCGGCATAACTAATTCGTTGGATGGCTCTCCAAATAAAAGCTTCTTTTAAGCACTTTGTATTGAACCAAAATTTCAAATAAATGACCAATAAAATGAGATTAGGCAGTGAAAGCAAGATATAACTCCCATGGATTGAGATGTAGACCATTCTGTCATCGCCCTTACTTTCCCAAGATTTGGTAGTAAGCAAGCCATCCTTTTAAACAAAATAACCCCAGAATACAAGTTTGTTGCACAAAAAGAGTTCATTTAAGATTACTATAGAGCTTCTCCTTTGAAAGGATCTCAAAAATATTGGTGTAGATGAGGAAAATGCTCTTCATAGAGCAGTTTCATAGTAAAGGTACCATCAAAGTATATAATAATAGCTCACTCCAAGAAATGTTGTAATATCTCCATCTTGACACACAAGAAAGTCCTCCAGATGTCAGATACCCAAGTGTCATTACTAGCCATTTGCATAAGACATCAAATCCTTTCAATCAATGAACCCTTATAATTTCCTTGAGAACTCTTTGATGCTTTAGTGCTCCTGAACATTTTTCTTTCTCCTGGGGTCGCCCTTTTTTGTAACAATAAATGTACGTGAAAGAGTAGAAAGTCGAGAAAATAAGCCATAAGGACATCCTTCTTCTAACAGGATATGCCTTCTAATATGTTGGGGCTAATTGACTTAAACTTTGGCGGTCTTCCTTCTAAATGAAAATGTAATACCCCGATATTTTAAAAAGGATTTATTAATTAAGTTAATTTATATTATATTATTATTATTATTATTTTTAAATGATTTGTTTTATTTAATTAGGTGCTTGATAGTTGTGATTTGTTTTATTTAATTAAGTGCGTAGGTAAATTGTATTGTTTTAATTAAATTATATTTTGTAATTATATTTGTTAAATTTATACGGTGTTTGATTTGTGGAATGCTAGTTAGTGAATTGTTTATTTGATTTGCGTGGTTTTATGTTGGTGTAACTTTATTTAATTTCATTATGTTAGGTATTTAAGTTATTTGGATTGGGATTAAAGGAAGTTGGACCAACGGATGTGGTATTGGGCTTGAAGGAAGCCTTGTTGGGTTAATTGGTAAAGGCCCGTGGTTGTGAGGATATTTAATAATTATCTTTGCATAATTATACCTATATAATTACATGTGTATATTAATTCATTATTAAATCATGTGGAGGGGTATATATGTCAATATAATTATATATTGATATATATAGGTATATATAATTTATTTAACTAATGGTTAAATATATATATATATTTACATTAAAATATATGTATATATATATATTATTTAAAAGATAAATATTATTTATTTTATATGATAATAATCCTAATGGGAAAAGGATTTAGGTTTTTGGATGTGTATAAATAGACACATAAGACTTTAGGGTTAGGAGTTTTTCCACGTTAGAAAAATAAGAGAATTAGAGAGAGAAGAAGAAGGGCTAGCGAAGAGGAGGCCGGATCAAAGAACGTAAGAGGAGACCAAATTTGGAAAAGAAAAGGCGAGTTTTCTCTAATTTTCCTCTTAGAACTCATAAGGGTTTCACCTTGAGTATCAAAATTAGGATTAAATTTATTGGTTTAGAAATCATGGTTAGATCGGATTAATTAAAATAATGAATTATTATATTTTGTTTTCTTTTAACTTTGGATTTTAAATTGTTGATGTATGTGTGATATTTATGTTTAAATTCAACTGTTTTATTTGATCTATGATCAGGAGGGTTATTTAGGGTTTATAGATTTTCTGGGAATTTTCTATATTTTTCTGGAATTTTCTGGTAATTATATATATTTTTTTGGAATTATATTTGATTTATGGATAATATTTGTTTGGAAAATACACAAATATATATACTGTGTATATACTGGCGGCTGGGTTAAACAGGGCATCAAAAAGGGGGTTATAGTTTGGTGTGGTGCAGCACACAATAATTTTGTGTGCGTGTGAATCAGAGCCTTTGAGAATTAAAAATAATACATAGATTAATTCAGTGTGGTACGGCGCATGGAACTATGGTGTGCAACAAGTCAAAGGCCATTGAATGCAATTTGATCAATGGAATAGATCTGGTGTGTTTCGGGTAACATTAATATGGTGCGCGCAAGAATTGGAGGGCTGAGATGCGCTGATGGGGAGCGGCTGGTCCGGTGTGGTGCGCTCATGCGGTAGCGAGGAGAGTGGCCAATCAGAGTACGCCACATCAGCCAAAAGAAGGAACAGGCGCGGGGCAGCGCGTGTAACGCGCGTGGGGGCGCGTGATGGAACCTGCCAGCTAGGGTGGCACGTGGAAGCGCGTGAGAGGTGTTTAGGAGCGTGTGGTGGCGCGTGGGGGTGCGTGAAACACTGTTTAGGGTCCTGTTAAGGTCCTTTGAGGTCCAGTGAATTTCCAGAATTGGTTTTAAGGCCATTGGGGTTGAAACAACCACTAGAGGAGGTATTCTTGGTTTCCTGAAAGCCATAGAATGTTACTACAATGATTGATAGCATTTATTTTGCGTAAATATAATAACTTATTATATTGTTATGGAATGTGGTGTATATATGTATATAATATAATTACATATGTATACGTGTATACATGGACTTTATTAAAGTATGATCAGTATATATATATATATATATATATATATATATATATATCTAAGATTTAAATAATCAAGGATTATTAGGGAAAGATTATACACATATATATTATATAATATATGTGTATATATATGCATTTTAATTAAGATTGTGATATGCTTACAATTTGCATGAGATGGCTATGTATGAATTAACTATCATTGAGTCTACAGTTGGTATATGGTTGAATTGTAGGCATGGATAAGTTGCCATAGGTGTAAATATATATTGCCTAAGTATATGGATGAATAAAATATAAATAGGAAGCATGGATGAATTGCTAAGTTAAAAGTATAACTATATATACTTAAGGAGGCATGGTTGAGTTGCCAATATATAAATGGATACATTTTTAACGGCATGGTTGAATTGCCAGTGTATAAACAAATATATTTATAATGGCATGGTTGATTTGCCAGAGGGTAATTAAATTGCTATGTGCTAGATGATTAAATTTCATCTATGGTTATGGTATGTATAAATTGGATTATGATTAGATATTCTTAAATTAGATTAATCTAATAGCTACATGTTAGTGTATTATTTTATATATTTTAATAAAATAATATTGGTACAGACATGAATGATTTATCAAGCCTGGGTATTGACTGTATGGTTTAAATAATTAAATTCATTATTAGCTTTTGGATTAAATATAGTTTTTTCTTGAATGATATTTTACTATTTAAATGATTAAATAATTATTTAGAATGAAGTTAAGGCTAAAGGGGTTTCTCTTTAAAAGAGAAGGAGTTTTTAGTTGGTTTAGGTGTGATTATGTTTAATCATGATTTAATAGTTTTGAAAATTAATGGAACTATTAATGAAATGAAAGGTTATACTGTATATAACTATTTATACATATGCGTATCATTGTTTATTAAACTTAAAGCTTTATTAGGTTTAGTTTGATCAGAGATGATCTACTTATTGGTTTTCAGAGGTCTGGTAGAGAAAACTTGCTCGTAGGGTTTAACCCGCGATTTATTTTTCAGGTTGTTAGAATGTCAAGTCGCAAGGTTGAGGATCCGCAGCTGGAGGACTTATCCATTCCTTCTATTTGCTTAAAAGTAGGATATTAGTTTTGTTTCAGTTGATATTAGTATTTATTTGGTTGAAATTCTAAATAGTAACTTTTAGTTAAGGGGTCCTTGAGTTACGGGATTCCCGAGTTGTAACCATTTGGAAGTTATTAATGGATTTACTATTAATTGGATTTCTTCAGCGTTTTATTTTATTCTTTATTTCATTTTGTAATCCGTGCTTGTTTAAATACTATAATTGGTTTGATATTCCCTAATTTTGTGCGCGGACTTGATCAACCCGTGTTCCGAAATTAGGGGGTATTACAGAAAACTTAGTACCCATAATGCATTCTTTGTACTACTATCCTATTACCGCTATAGAAGAAAATAATAAAACACAATAGTCTATGTAAATTAAAGAAAAAAAAGTCAGCAATAATTATAGAAAAAGTGTATTATAACACAATAAAACGCACATATGATAGGATTAATCGCAATTAGAACAAATTTATCCTAATCCAATTTTAACAATAACAACTTATTGAAGCTAAGGTATGTCAAGAAAAACCTTCTCATAACTTGGTTGCACTCCATTGAAAGGGCCTGGAGCTCCTTAAACTTGCGCCCAACTGTGTCATTAAGATCCCAGCACTTCTCATCCCAAGCATTCCTCTCCGCGTCAGCATCGGCAATATCTCTCTCCACAGCCTGCAACTCTCTCTTCATCCTCTCTGCATCTCGTGAATTAACATGCTGCGACTCTATCCTCTTCTTCAACTCCTCATTCTCCTCGCAAATCCTCTTGTTCTCCCCAACCTTCGCCTCCAATTCCTTCTCTTTCTCCTCCAATACCTTCTCCACTGTCATAATATGTCCATTCAACTGCTCAATCATTGAGTGGAACTTCTTCACATCCTCTTCCAACACACCCTTCTCTTTCTCGAGCAATTCCTTAGGCGATGGTCCCGACTTCAACCCCTCCAACTTCCCCTCCAACTCCTTAACAGTGTTCTCCAACATCTTCACAGTTTCCTCTACCGAAGCCCTCTCACGGTCTAACTTCTCAATGAATTCACGCTCAAGGATCTCCACTGCATCATCATTTCCTTGAATATATTGCAAGTAACTGTTCAGAGAATACTCGAGCATGCTATTATCTGCAAAGCTGGACCGATTTTCCGACATTTTGGTTAAATGATCGTTGTACATTGCAATTTGAACCAACCAGTGGATCACAGCGAGGAGGCTCGGCCAAGAGTGAGGAGTACCAGGGTGTAGAATAGACGATTTGGTGAGTTTAATTGGGCAATTGAGGTGTTTGAGGACTGTGAGGAGGTCTTCTTCAAGTTTGTTCGTTCCGAAATCGAGTCGATTGAGAACAAACCTTAGGGTTTCGGTGATGTCTTTGGCGGGGGGCAGTGGGGGCTTGAGGTAGATTGAAGGGGACCGAGAGGCGAGGTACTTGTTGATGACGGAGAGTTGGTTGGAGCGTTCGGCGGCCGAGGTGGCGGGGGCGGCGGCCGCGGCGGGGCGTTTGATGCCGATGGAGGAGGAGGAAGGGCGGCTGCTGCATAAGCTGGCGTCGGAGTCGCGGCCGATTGGGCCGCCAGTGAACTGCCATGGATCGGCGGTGGGGGTTGGCGGTGGTTTTCGTTCTTGTGCGAAAGATTCCTTTGGACGGCGACGACCGGCGGCTCTCATCTCCGGTGATTGGTTTGTTTCTCTCTATATCTGAATCTGACTAAAGTTTCCCGCCTGTTGGCTATCGGGGAATTGGGAAAGTGAAGTTCGAATATCTATATTTTTGGAAAGAAAAAGAAAAGAATATATATATATATATATATATATATATATATATATATATATATATATATATTGGATTGAATCCGATTATAAAAACGAATGGTTCGGGTCAACTTTCCCTGGATATCGACTCGGTTTATGTGATTATTATTATTATTATTATTATTATTTCTTTTAACAAGAAACTCATCAATCACTCATTTGTTCAGAAATTTTATCCTCCACTCTTACGTTTGAAAGATTAAATAACTTATGATGAATAAAGCGTTGTGAAAATGAAATTACATAAGAAGATCGAAATTATTTAATCAATCTCAAAATTTCACAAAATTATTAATTATTATTTATTTATAATTTCAAGTGACAGTCATTTTGAGTTGCTATTCAATATGTTACTCATCATTCTTCTATGGCTCTGAACTTCTCAGGTTTCCTATTCTATTTCATCTCAGTTAATAATGTGAAAAAATAAAACTACATAATTTCAATAAGGAAAAATTACAATTAAGTCTTATTTTTTTCATTTAATAATCAACGAGTCATCCATGTTTTTGTTTTTACATGTTTTTTATGCTATTCTAAATCTCTCAAATTTCAACTTTACTCTTTGGAATTTTAAATTATATTTTTTATTAAATATTAAAATTCAAAATTAAATCTATCTAAAGAATTTTCTAAAATAATAATATTAAATCCGAAAACATTTGAACATTTTCCCTATTATTTTAAAGAAATATCAACCTTATAGTTAAAATTTATAAATTGACCAAAAAAATCATTTTTCCAATATAATATTAAACATTTTTTTAATAGTTTAAATAATTAGTTTCAAGAAATAAATTAAAAGTTGCACAAATATTATAACTTCAAAAAGCTTTTTGAATATAAGAAGCTTATAAATGAAAATCAGGAATTTTAATACTAACGAGGATAAATATTAAAACGTAAGACTTAAAATTTTAATGGTTTTTTTCAAACATCTTACTTGTACTTATTGGTAATTTTTTCTCTCAAAAAAGGAATAATTTTTTTCACTTTTTCTCATTTCACATTATGTTTTCATTTTGAGCAAATGGAAAAGGTTTCCAATTTGATAAAACAAGATACTCCATATTGAAATTTTAAGGAAAACAATTTTCATCTCAGTTTATTTCGACGTAAAATATTTTTTAGATAAAATATTAAGAATGTAAAATAATTTACTAAAAATTGATGGATAAGTTATTTTTATTAAATTTTAATTTTTTTTTTCGTAAATATTTTTCGACAATTAAACACTAAAAAATAAAAAAATATATTTTATAAAAAATATTTTAGGTCTAAATAAATGGAGCCTCAATGTTCTTGTAATTTTTTAATATTACTTGCTTAAAATTGATTGGGAATCAATAACATGTTTTGGAATTTCATAGAAGCAAGATGAGGCCCAGGTCCACAAGCCCATCAGACCTCACCATTCATCACTTCCCATATAAACCCTCGAAATTCTCAGCACACACACTGTAAGTTTTCTTCCCTCCAAATCCACAACCCTTCGAGCCATTTTTACTTCTCTTCAATTTTCTCTCTTCAAAAACACACCAGAAAAAGAGGTGAGAGAGAGAGGGAATCAAGATTCATCGCCATTGTCGAATTTCAAGCAAATAATGGGGAAGGACGAGGATGAGATGAGGGGAGAGATAGAGGAGAGACTGATAAACGAAGAGTACAAGATATGGAAGAAGAACACTCCCTTTTTGTACGATTTGGTGATTACCCATGCCCTCGAGTGGCCTTCCCTCACCGTCGAGTGGCTTCCCGACCGGGAAGAGCCGCCGGGAAAGGACTACTCTGTGCAGAAGATGATTCTGGGGACCCACACCTCCGAGAACGAGCCCAACTATCTCATGCTCGCCCAGGTCCAGCTCCCTCTCGAGGACGCCGAGAACGATGCGCGTCATTATGACGACGACCGCTCCGATTTCGGCGGCTTCGGTTGCGCCAATGGCAAGGTAACATATAACTAACTGTATGTGTCTCTCTGTGTGTATGTGTAGTTATTTGTCTAATAGGTGCTTGTAATTTGTGAAATTAATGAACTTTTTGATGTTGATGGGTGCAATGGATCGAGGCTTGGTTAATTTATGAAATCAAAAATAGCCTTTTTCCTACTTTTGAAGACGATTAGCAAGTTTTAGGGTTTGGGTTTATTGTAATGTTATAAATTGAGCTATTAGTTATGCATATTTGGATCGTCAATTTGAATTTAGTCTTATTCAGTTGCTTTTTGAAAGGTGAAAGTTTCTGCGAGGTGTTTGACATTTGTTAAGGTGCAAATGGGTTGGTAAGAGGTTACCCCTTACCTGGTGCCTGGCCTGATGCGGATTTGTAAAGTGATGGAATTGAGGGGCTGTTAGTTTTATCCTGAGTAGTTAAGTAAAGGAAACATGTAAAATTGCACTCAAAGGAAGGGCTGATGGGCACTTATCAGGAAAAAAGGAAGTGCTGATGGGTGCCTGATATAAACTAAGGCATTTTTTATTTTTTTACTTTTTTATTATTATTTTTTTAAGAGGTATGAAAGGGGAAAAAGAGATAAAACAGTGTAATGTTTCAGATCTGGATATATGATATACATCTAAATATGTCAGATTTTTTATTTCAAATGCCCCTTTAGAATGTAGAACAAAGATGTTAACTTTTCATATAAATTGCACTAAGAAACTGGATTTTGGACCCACTATAGAGGATTAACCATTCAGTAATTAGTAAGTCCACGTGTAGTCTATTGAAAAAAATTCACAACAAATAATTAGTTTGAGTGAAGAACATGTAAGTCTCCGTGTTCTTTGCTCCCATAATTTGTTTTCCTCCAAAAAATCAGTGAGAAACTTAGTTTCAAAGCTTAATTGGTACAAGATTATCGTTGGATTTTATGGATTTGGTTCTGGTTCAGTTGGTATTATACTGCAACCAAAGTGAATTCTAAACTAGAGAAATCTGAGCACAAAACGAGCTATTGACACCCCCAAGTGTAGCCTCAGAGGCTGGGCACAAGGTTATCAGTATTATTTCAATTTGGAGCATTCTAAAAGTTCATTGTGTCAGAGAACACTTAACTTTTGCTATCTTTTTTTTTTTAAGGAAAAAAAAAAAAAAAAAAAAAGAAAAAAAAACCTTTGAAAGATTCAAAAGTGTAAAACCTTAGTACAATAAAACTGATATAATTGTTGAGAACTTGAAGTCTGCACAAACATTTATGTCCATACAATTACTGTATATAATGTTGAACAAAGAATAAATCTGATGAATTGTAATGTGGGTGTATTAATTATTCAAGCACATGTCTTCATTCTATTAATGCACTAGGAAGCCTTTAGCATTTTGATATTGTTTTTGCTTTCTCATGCAGGTGCAAATAATCCAGCAAATAAATCATGATGGCGAGGTTAATCGGGCTCGTTATATGCCACAAAACCCATTTATTATTGCCACCAAAACAGTTAGTGCAGAAGTTTATGTTTTTGATTATAGCAAACACCCATCTAAGCCTCCTCTAGATGGTGCATGCAGCCCAGATTTGAGGTTGAGGGGCCACAGCACTGAAGGATACGGTTTATCATGGAGTCAGTTCAAGCAGGGTCATTTATTGAGTGGTTCTGATGATGCCCAAATATGCTTGTGGGACATTAATGCGACTCCTAAGAATAAGGCATTAGACGCTATGCAAATATATAAGGTATGTTTCTCTGTGCATATTGTACACTACAAATGATACTGCATAAATTTTAGTGGCCATAACACATACTTACACTACTGTTATAGTTTACGTAACAGGCCTACAAGTAAAAAACTGAAACGTCCAAGGAATTACTGCATGCTTATAAGTCAGTAAACTCGACATTGTTAGTGGCAAGCTCCTTATACACAGCAAATCTATTTTAAATTTTTAAAATACATTTGTGCACAAAAAACATTTAAGGTGAACTGATGGCAACTAGGGTGGCTGCAAATTGCTATCTGAAAATATAAATTCATAGAAAACCAGAAGTTCTGCAGTTTAATCATCTATAGCTTTATTAATATCTTATAGCTGCCATACTATTTGATCTGTAGATTATTGATATGGTTTGACATTTGCTAAAGTAGGTTCATGAAGGTGTTGTAGAGGATGTAGCCTGGCATCTGAGGCATGAATACTTATTTGGTTCTGTTGGGGATGATCAATACCTGCATATATGGGATCTTCGGACTCCATTAGCCAGCAAGCCCATTCAATCCGTAATTGCTCATCAAAGTGAGGTGGGTTTTCATGGTTCCATAATACCTTATACTCATAAACTCAAATTTACGCATATATATATATATATGTATGTATATACATACACATGCATTCAAATGGTTCTCCTTACTCTATCTGTTGTACCACATACTGTACATATATATGTAGAATATACGTGCCATATTATATATAGCACCAATTTGAGTTGTTCAACTCTGCTTTCATAAATTAATCTTGGTATTGGCTCATTTTTGCAACAGTGATCAGTCTTATTCGAAGCCAACATTCTAAGTTGGATTTGTCTGTTATAAAGCAAATTATTTTAGGCAATAGCAATTCAAAGAGGAGGCAACTTGCTAGGTGGCTTAAGTGTCTGAGTAAGAGTAAATATACTAGGCATCTTGTGCTGAATCAATCATCATAATCTTTGTTTTCTTAATTATTTCTGGCATCAATGCTTTCTAATAATTGGAAAAGATATCAATATGGTAAAATTTTCTTGTCAAGTTTGGAAAAGATTTACCGATTATGGCATGTAGACATTAAGTCTGGGAAATATTATATGAAATATTTATGCACAACTATTGGAATTATTTGTGTCTGTGTTGTGACCAAAAAAAAAATTTGGAATTGTTGTGCCATTATATGCAATGCAGAAATTTCTTTTTTCTGGCCAAGTTTGGAAAAATGATTTGTAGCATGTGTTATTGCATTATCTGGGAAACATTTTTTGTTTTCTTAGTTGGTACTTGCACACACATGCCTCCACTGAGGCTTGAACCCCTGACCTTCCTTTGGAAAGTAAGGGCCTAATACCGCTAGGCCACTGGCCCGTTGGTATCTGGGAAACGTTATTTGAAACATGTTTACACAAAAATGTTACGCAGACGTTGGGATGTAAGGAAAATTAAAAGAAAGAATATGTGTAGCTAATTCTGGCCATTGGCAAATAGCAGTATTAAATTGTCAGAGAATGTTTGATGGTGTTATTGTGGTTGATGGGTAATCAAGTACCTTGCCTTGACACACGTAGTTCCACTGCACATCATGTTTGAATTGGAGGATCTCTTGTCAGATTTTCTTACAAGCTAATATTGGTATCTAGTAATATGCACCAAAGATTATTGTGCAACACTTGTTAAATGTATTTACACTTTATAAATGGCCGTCTCTTTGTAGTTTCTTGCTGTGCCACCGTAATCTGTTTTAATGTTGTCAAGTCAATTTCAATTGAAGATAATTTATTTTGAAGAAGATAGTTCTTAGTTGTTGTTTGATAAAACTAAATTAAGCACTAATGAATTTTAGTAGAATTAGTAGCTTTGAATACGTTAAGTAGCTGAACTGTAGAACTGAAAACTCGAGCATAATTTTGTGGGTTGGATTAAAGTTTAAAATGATCATTCACTTGGTACATTCAACATCAGTGATCAGTCAAGTTTCATTGACTTTGCATTCAAACATTTTCTAAGTAAAAGTTTCTTTTGAAGAGATAGCTGACCATGCATTATCAAACATGCTTATTGGAACAAGCATTAAAAAATATTAGCGTTGTTGACTTAATTGGGTATCAAACATCAAACAACCCCTCAGTTATTTGTGTTGAATAGAATAACTATAAGAGCTCTATTTATGTTCCTACATTTGAAATTGAATGGAAAGGTATCCATGACTTACATTTCTAGGCATTCCTTACGCATTCTCATCGATGAAAAACTTGGATCTGTTGCATATATAATAATACATCTGAGGGGGAGAGAGGGTAATTGAAATGCATAGCTTTCTCTAATTGTAGTCAGTCTGTATGAATTACTATGTTGTATGGATTATTATGGTGATTGTGGGAGGAATGAAGTTACAGCTTCCTACAGTAGTGCTAGGAGGTCTCAATAGTTTGGAATTGTATTTTTGACATAACTGCATATGTGTATGCTATTGGATTCTTTTCTAATATTGGATGGTTGGGTTGATTCGTTTTTCTTCATCTGTTGTACACAAATGTTTTTATTTTTTGTTGGTATGCATGCTTAATGCTGCTTGAATGTGATAAAATACTTTCTTATCCATGGTCTTGTTTTAGGTAAATTGCTTGGCTTTCAACCCTTTTAATGAATGGGTTGTGGCAACGGGGTCTACCGATAAGACTGTTAAGTTATTTGACCTACGCAAGATCTCCACTGCTCTCCACACATTTGATTGTCACAAGTAAGGAATTTTCTCCCTTGCATGGATGCTTTATTTTTCAAGATATATTTCTGAAAATATTGTAGATTTTGATAATATCTTTTTATCTTTGTTGCTGTGAGAGTAACTAGGTAAATTACTGTGATTTCCTCTTCACGTGTATACATATATTGATACATATGTAAGCACATATATAAATACACACACACGCACGCGCATGTACATATGCATATCTATTTGTATATGTAAATATTCTGAACTCAATTCTTGTCATGATCTACAACAGGGAGGAGGTTTTTCAAGTTGGGTGGAATCCAAAGAATGAGACCATCTTAGCTTCTTGTTGTCTTGGTAGGAGACTTATGGTGTGGGATCTTAGCAGGTTTGTTCTTGATCTAACTGTCAGCAGTTTTTGTAAAGGATTTCTATTTATGTAGAAGTGTTGGCTTCAATCTAGCTTTTGCTTCATTATCAGAAATTTCAGTCTTTATCTTGATATAACTGAAGCACTTGCTGCACAGTAAGAAATTTGAAGCAATCATGGCAAATCACAGAAAGATAAACAATGCCTTAATAAATTTCAGGCATCAACTTGGATTCTTCAATGCTTACAGATATCAAAGCCGTGATTTATTTTCTTATTGTTTTATACAACTCTCCAAAATGTTATGATATGTTTGTCTTGATCATAGAGAGGCCCATCAATTTGGGTTTTTAAGTATTATTTGAATTTATAAACATTATGTAATGTGATGAAATTTATATCTTAGTTGGTATTAGTAAAATATGTTTACTAATTTTATTTTAGTTTCAATATTTTATGAGAATAAATACATATTAACATGAAAAGTTATTGATTTTAAACACGTTCAAACAATCTTATTATTTCAATGTTCTAGTGATCTAGATTTAATAAATTATTTAGTTTAATCTCTAAAAAAGGGAAAAATTTCAAACAGATTTGAAACTTATTGAAGTGGAATGCTTTAAAATGTCATCACTAAGATCTCAGATTAGGTATTCTAGATTTTTGTTTCCAAGTGTTGATCTATTTTTATTTAATGTATTTATAGCATCTCAACTGAAGCTTATAATTGTAAAAACAGGAAGTGGTTGAAATTGGTTCAAAAGAATTTATGTTCCTCATGTGCCGTTAAGCTCTAGTAATAAGACACTAACCAGCTGTTTTGCCCATGAATTTTAGCGGGATCTTTATATCAGTTCTGATAGGTTTGGGACTCCCCGATTTTGTTGTGTTATATAATTAAAAGGAGTGGTTCCTGTTTTGAGCACCATTTGTGGTTTTGCTTTACATGGAATGCATATACGGTGGTTGTGTTTTTTCCATTTGTAATGTGCGTTGATTCATCCTATAATAAAATTCTTGTAACATTGATGGTTTAAGTATAAAGACGTGAGGCCTGCAAGTTGGAACCTGTTTTTCTCTTTTATCAGCAGTCTTAACCGGTTAAAAAAGTCGACAACTGTGTAAAATAACGATAACCTTGCTACATTCCCAGGATTGATGAAGAGCAGACACCAGAGGATGCCGAAGATGGTCCACCCGAATTGCTCTTCATTCATGGTGGTCATACGAGTAAAATTTCAGATTTCTCATGGAATCCATGTGAAGATTGGGTCATTGCCAGCGTAGCGGAAGATAACATTCTTCAGATCTGGCAGATGGCCGAGAACATCTACCACGATGAAGATGATCTACCAGGAGATGAATCCACAAAAGGTACCACCTAGTCAAGTTTCTCTATATAAATAGAGCCTAGCTAGAAGCTTGATGAGATGATCCGTTAGTAGAAGACATTAGGTGTCTTTTGATCCTTTCTCTTTTGTATCCTCCATTTTCTTTTCACAATCCATTTATAAGTTATGTTCTAATTTGTTGTTTTGAACATGAACTGTAGTTTTATAATTTATGCAGCCTTATTTGCAAAACTAGCTTGTTACAAGGTTAAATAACTGGGTCGAAGAAGAAGTCAGCTAATAGGGTCCAGTGGTTGGGCCTGGCCCAAAATCAATCCAACTACAGCTTACCATTTATTTGGTACAATAGTAATAACTCATCCTTATGTCTATAATGTGATTATTGAATCACTAGTTGAATTCAGTTGATCTAAAGGAAATTTAACTCCTAAATATTCCAAAATTTAGGAAAAAAATAATGTTGCATTTGGGAATATCGTGTTCATGTTATAGAATTGGAAGAGTAAATTATGTTTCAGATTTAAAATGACTTTATTCCGATCTTAAAACTTAATTTATGTCATTAAATGCAGCATAAATATACTTTATTTGTCTGATATTTGAACCATGTGATATAATGGTGTTGTAGGTGCAAAATTTCTTTCTATAAAAGAAATTAAAAGAAATAATACTACTCACTCAAGATAAAATAATAAGTAACAAGAATTACTAAGAGAAAAACATATATTGTTCGATGATCTTTATTGAAGGTTTAAGTCTCTATTTATATACAAAAAGGTGGTGGAATTATAGTAAGACTCGTCTTGCTTGTCCCCCAATTCATTCCATATACATCATTTTTTACAAATAGAGTTCTTTCCTTTTCATAATTTTTTCTATGCTAAACTTTCCTTGCATAGAGTTCTCCTTCTATGTTGAATCCTTTAATTAGCAGGACTGGTCCCATCTTTAACGAATTTGGGCCGAACATAATTCGAACTGGTTGATCTTGTTAACGGACAGGAAGGTTAACATTGGTGGCCTTGGGCTGATGTTGCCTTCACTTGGACTTGAACAGGGTTGGGCTTTTGTAATCCATCAAGAGATTAAAAATAAAACTTCTATTGTGGCTACGTGGATGACTTTTATTGGAGGGGGATTTTTCCCTCCACACTTTGCCCCTAATTCCCTCTTTAATTGGACTACGGCTCCTAATTAAAAGTAAATTGAAGTTGCACGGTGGCCAATTTTGCAAAAGGCGGTTCAAGAAGTGTCCATTGCGATTCTGACCAAAGAGCTTCCTCAAAACTTGCATTTACCCTTTCTGCGTTCATTGCATACTCATTACGTTCTTTACTTCATCGTGACACCATGTTAGTTCCTCACTTGTTTCTTTGATTTCATACCATGAGCACCTCATCCACTCATAACCTTATTGAGATTGTAGATTCTGAGTCTACACCCTTATCTTCCCCTAATCTCATTAGGGTTCCTCCTCCTAGGGTTTCTAACCTTCCTGGATCCACAAACGATTCGATTGTGCGAATAGGTGATTCTCTACCCCAAGCTGAAGTGTCCACTTCTTGTAACGACCCACTCCACCACATGGTATGATATTGTCTGCTTTGGGCCTGAGCCCGCACGGTTTTGCTCTTGGGCTTCACCCCAAAAGGGCTCATACCAATTGGAGGCGACACACTTACATATAAGCACTTCACATTTCCTCTACCCAGGCAATGTGGGACTGTGCACCCGTAGCTCGCCAGTGTGGTAGCCTAACAGTGTTTCTCGCACCCGCCCACGGACACACCCGCCCACAAGGTCATCACAATCCACCCCCCTTGGAGGCCTGACGTCCCTGTCGGCACACTTCCGGCTGGGTCAGGCTCTGATACCATTTGTAACGACCCACTCCACCACATGGTATGATATTGTCCGCTTTGGGCCTGAGCCCTCACGATTTTACTCTTGGGTTTCACCCCAAAATGTCTCATACCAATTGGAGATTACACACTTACATATAAGCACTTCACCTTTCCTCTACCCAGGCGATGTGGGACTGTGCACTCGTAGCTCGCCAGTGTGGTAGCCTGACAGTGTCTCTCGCATCTGCCCACGGCACACATCACACTTCTGGCGGATCAAATAGTATTTTTTCAAAAAAAAAGAGAAAAATGATTATGTCCGTCCGACGTATCAAGTTCACCATCGAATCTGTGATAGAGGAATTTGAAATCCCTGCAGGGGTTGAAATTGCTGAGTACCCTAAGAAAGCCGATTTCACTTCAGGTGAAGGGGTCAAGGATAATGAGTTACTTTTGTCAGTTAGGCATCTTCATGCTCTTTGTTTTCCTCTTCACCCTTTTTATCACTTGGTTTTTAATAGGTTAGGCATTGCTCATCTTCAAGTCAACCCTAACTTTCTTCGAATAGTCTCGGCTCTCCTTGTTCGCCGAAGGCTAGAGAGTCTTGACTTGACTCTTGTTGACCTATTGATTACTTACACAATTTTCAAACATGTGACCGAGCCTGGCCCTTTTTATTTTACTTCATCTCTTCAGCAAAGGATCTATACGGACCTCCCCTCCTCCGAGAAGAGGTGGAAAGAGGAATGGTTATTGTTAAGGGGAACTGGTCTGTATCTCAATAAAGTAAATTCCCCATTCCTAGCAAATTTGGGAAGTTAGGTATAGAATAATTTTCCTCCTTTCATAAAAAATGCACTAGTTGCTTCTCATGTCAAGTTTTGTTCTTTCGTCATACTTATGAATTTCTTGGTATTTTTTCAAAAACATTCCCTTCCTCTGCAGCTAAGAAAATGCTCGATTTTCTTGAAAAACAAGTTTGGACTCATCCCCCTTCTGTTGAGGACTTGCTCTCTTCATCCAATCTCAAGGAAATTGCCTCTAGTGCTGCATCTGCTGACCTTATGGATTTAGTAATCCCATCCTTTGACAACTTTCCTCTAACTAATGAAGAGAAGAAAAGAGTTGAGGCTCTTAAAAAGAAGGCAACTGAGGACCAGCCCCTCATAGTAATCCGTTCAACTGAGCAGGAGAAGGAGACTGAAGGCCTAAGAAAAGGCAGAACCCTCCCTCAACAAGCAAGGGTAAAGGTGTTAACCCCCCCCCCCCCCCCCTACCCACCCACACACACAATAGCAAAGGGAAGAATGATGATGAAGCTGACCTTGAGGCTGAGATTAGAAATTACATCCTAGCTGAAGATGGGAACCTTGGAGGCCCATTTTCTCCAAAGCAGACAAATCAATTCTTCACTCTGGAGATTTTGTAGTCACTGATCCCTCTGTTACTTTGGCAGTAGTTAGGGGGATGTAGCTACCCAAGGATAAAGAGATTATTGGTAACATGGGGCTGGACCAACTGCTTCCCTCTGCCCCTGTTCGTGCTATGGAGGTTTGCATTTTCCCGTTTCTGATATTTACTTAACTTTTCCTTCACTCTATTTATTTTATTGATGATTCTGCACAACATGTATCACACTATGGCCCTGTGTGCCACTGCTGAAACCCAGTCAATCTTCATTCAGAAAATGGAGAAGGAATTGGAAGCTGCTGAGAAAAAACTCTCACACTCGCTTAAGGATGCAAATATGGCTTATAATGCTAGAGATACATACAAAAGTCAACTTGCATATGCTGAAGCTAGAGTGAAAGAGCTGGAGGCTAAGAACCTTTGATGGAGAGATGCGGTAAACACTTGTACAACTACTGGAAAGCAAATGCAGGAGCGCTACTCCTCCTTGGTGCGCCTATCAAGTGCGAAGGCCTTCCAGTCCGACTTTAACCAAGGCTCAGGCAACAAATTGAAGGACCCAGATGTTTTTGATGCTGACATGGGGGTGTCCTTCCCTTATGCAGAGGGTCCGAAGGCCTAAGAAGCTGAGATATTATTTGCTGAGATGGTGAAATTTCATCAAAGGGATCTCCCAGCATTGAGTTCCTCAGCTCCTCCAGCTCCAAGCCCCTTAATTCCTTCATCCTCAAACACTTCAACTTTTTCAGAAACTGCTTCCAACCCAAATGTGGTTAATGCTTTTGACTCTGCTCCTTTTGACCCAAAAAGGAAGTAGAATTGTGTAATTTTTATTCTGAAACAATGTATTTATGCTCTTGTGCTGTCATGGTTAAACTTATTTTGGGGCAATTTGCATATCTTTAAGTGCCTTTATGTTGCATACAATTACTGAGCAGTTTTTCATGCCTTTGAGAAAAATTCATTTTCTCTGGGGACTTCGAACTCCTCTTGGTCCGAAGCAAAAACAGGGAGGATTATAAGAAGGGATCTCTTATGACGGTTTGGTCACCAACCAAGGGTTGTTCTACCACTTAGTGGTGTAACCGTTAAGGGAACCCTTCTTGCCCCTGAATTATGTGGAATGGGTATATCAATACTCGATTTTTCTTGTATTATTTCGATGTGGGACATATTACTTTATTGACTTAGTAATTGCAATGATCAAATAAATTGAGTTTCATAATAGAATGCGAAGTATATCAACCTTCACTTAGGTTTTGGCTCATCTGGGTCTTGAACTATTTATGTATATTCCAACTCTTAGTCTTCGAAGCGTGAGGTTCTTTGCCGTAGAGGAATTTTTAATGTCTTCGGCCTTTTGGGTATCCGAGGCATATGATTCCTCGGCCTTTGCGTGTGCCTTAAAGAAATTTAGTAGTATCTTCGGACTCTTGAGGTCCGAATCAAGTAATATCCTCGGCTTTATGCCTTAGAGAAATTTAGTTACTATCGTCGGACTCGTGGGTCCAAGGATTTAAAGGATATCTTTGGACTCGCGGGTCCGAGGACTATAAAAAATGTCTTCGGACTTGTGGGTCCGAGGATTGAAAAGAATGCCTTCGGGCTTGTGGGTCCGAGGATTGAAAAGTAAGAGAAGGCCAAGGAAAAGAGTGACAGTGACCTAGTCAGATTCTCAAGCGTTTGGTCGGTGTCCTCTATTTCATAGTCACCCTTTCCTTGGCGTTTTGTTGTAATAAAATTTGGTTATATTAACCATCCCCATTTCTTATTTATATTCGATGTGGGATAATTTGTCTAAAGGATTTAGCCAAGGTGCTCAGCCTGGAGGGTGCAACTCCTTGGTTATACACTTTGGAAATCCTCACTCTTGGGGTCCGGAGCATGTGATTCCTCGGTAATAGTGTATGCCTCAGAGGAATTTTTTCTTGTGTTGGACTCTTGGGGTCCGAATCATAGAGTTCCTCGGCAGTAGTG